AGGCCGCGCCGCTCCCGGCGGGAATGGCGCTGAAAAAGGCGGGAGGGAGCGTGTGGGAAGGCGGCTCCGCCCCGGGCTCGGCCTGCTGGGGTCTGCGGGGAGCGCGGTCTCGGAACTCGCTCTTCCCCCGCTGCTGGGTTCGTCGCTAGTGAAGGGAAAACAGTGCGAAGTGTAGCCACGTATTGCAGCAGTGAGGAAGTTTTCCCATTCAGGCTGACTTTGAATTAAAATAAATAAATAAAAATGATATATTTCATGACATGTGAGAGTGTTGATACTTGACATTAATGATTTCTTACTTTCTGTTTAGTGCTTGGAGGGCAGGTGACATTGGAGTGCCTTCTGCCAAGCAAGAATATTTTATCAAAAAATAGCTTAAAAAATGGCCAGGTTGAACTAGGTAGCAAGGGGAAAGCTAAACGGACTAGTTGTCACAGCCTCAAGATCTGCTGGTGCACTGGTTTGGTGAGAAACAACTCCTGCTAAACGTAGGTTCTCACTTTGTTCTGGTCATAGCTTTAAGCACATTTAGTCCCTGAGCGTGGATTGAGGAATAGTGTTAATTTTTGTGAGGGAAAGAAGATGGAAAGAGAAGGCAAACCAGGTAATACAAAATCTTAAGAGCTTGTCTTAATTGCTTATAATGTTGGTGGTTTGAGTTGCAAGAAGTATTTGGTATAAAAATGTATCTGAAGGGCATGCAGGCACTGTGATGCAATGCTTTGTGGCAAAAGTTTTTAAAATTGAATGGCAAATTTGACTTGACATAAATGGTGTAATATTAAACCACATGCCAGTGTGTTCAATTGTGCTAAAAAATATTCATGTGCAAGTTTAGTTTTGTAGTTTTGACACTTAGAAGCAGGTTTAGTGCTTGTTTCTGAGGTTGGTTTTGCTTTCGTTTTTAAGTACTACTGGAAAGACTGGCATCAGGAAGTTTATGAAAGTCCCTGTTTCAGTTTTACTACTGCAACTGATACAAAAGACAAAAGTAAGCCTTGAACAAGCACAGCTTTTTTAGTCACTCCAAACTTCTAACTTTTATGACTATCAATTAACAATGGTTTTGTTTTTCTTTTTAATGATTCAGTCATTATACAAGAAGAGAACTCCAAAAAGGAGTATGAAGTTGTTGGACGTTTTCCATTAGTTGGCCCTTGGTGGAAAGTTAATGTTAAAGCTAGAAGAGTGGGGTCAAAGTACTTTGTGCAAGGATATCCATCATATTTTCTGCGGACCAATATAGAAGAAAACAACCGAGAAGTCTTTTCACTCTTTCTTAAAGAATGTTCTGTTCCTGATTATTTTAAAGAAAAGTTTTTTGCTTGGCTTCCTACGAGGTCTATGCTGAGTTTTAGAAATCTCGAAGAAAAACTGAAAGAGTTTCAGGTTGCTCACTTAGAGAAAGGGAAGAAGCCTGGAGACACCAAGGATTATGATATCTTCTACTATATTTTGAAATCACGTAGGTATTTTGATTGTTTTATAAGATACTATCTGACATGTCATCATATGAAGTGTATATTCAAATGAATTTTGAACATGCAAGATTCTTATTTTTAAATTTGAGGACAGTGGGATAGGTGACCAATCGAAGATAGGCATACAGTTAGAAACACAGGACTTTCCTGAATTCTGTAGGCTTCCAAAGTAGAATTGTCTGTGGTAGGGATGCAAAGACACTGGTGCTGGCTTACTGTGGTTTATTCAGATGTAACAAGGCTTATTTAAAAAAAAATAAATGGGTTCAGTACTGCTTAAACATGGTGATAAACCTTTTTAGGACAAATATATGTTCAGCCCTCTTGTTCCCATTGTGACACAATCTCTGAGAGTACTGACTGTATTCCTGCCTGGATGAAACCTAGAGGATGTGTTCCAGTTGTACACCTAAGGTACCCCAACCCCAGCGGGCATTCAGTCGCATGGGACCAGACTATAGATGGTCTGGAGCACAACACTTAAATACAGTCAAGACGTCGGAGTTGTGCCTTCAGCACTAGTTGTGTTGTTTTGCTGCAATGATCCGTTTCCATTTTACCGTATTCCTGATGTGGACACAGGCAGTCCTGGGTTGCTGCTGTACAGAGCCACTTAGATGTCAGTGTGTGGGACTCAGTACTCTGAGTTGGGGGAAGTCTTTTAAATTCAGCCCTAGCTGTGTATTAGTCTGTACAGACAGGTTGGGTCTATTTAGTGTTACATGCATGCAAACAAAGTCTTCCAGTACCTGGTTTACTGGGCAGTGTCAGGTGAAAAGATGGAGGTGACTGTTTCACAAGTCAGATCATGTCTTAACAGAAGAGTTCAGAGCTTCTGTTAGACTTAACTCCAGGTCAAATGTGTAAGGAGAAGAAAATTTTAACAGTTCTAATGCTTTTTGTTCTGGTTTTGTAATGCTCTGTCATTGGGCAATAGAAGCAACAACCCACCCCTCTGTATGTCATATTACTACTATTGTAATTTTTTTCTGGTTGTCATTAATTGCTATGGGCTCAACCAGTTTGTTCTTGAAGCCTTCATGATACTTTTGTGTGGAAATAGTGCGTGTTGGTTCTCCATGTGTAAATTAAGTACTTGCTTAAAAGGGAAAAGGTTTCATCATTGCCTTTCTGTAGGTAAGAAAGTGATCAGAAAAAGTGAGAAAAATTGATGGTTTAAATTTGGAATGATGAAGTTTCCTTACCAATTAATTAAGAATGGCATTTTGGTTTTTTTTCTTGCTAAGAGATAACATTTCTAGAAGTCTCACTTTCTTCTGAAATTTGCTTTTCCAATTGAACAAATCAGTTTCATTATGTCCCTTTTGCAGCTACCAAGGGAGCTGATAGGGGAAGTGATAGCTTATATTTGAAGTAATTGAGAAAGATAGTAGAGAGCACTGTTTTCCTATGTTCCTTTCCTATTTTGAACATTCGATATTGCTCTGTACATCGGTAGGAAAACTATCCTTAGGTAGGAGACAGGTGTGGTGAGGTCTGAACTGACTGCAATATGTAATTGAGTATGCAGCTTAAACCAAGTGTTTAATACATAGTTTCCAAATGAGTACATTTAGTTGCAATCTGTTTACATTGGGTTTTTTTCCCAAGGCTGTTCAGGGAAAACAGACTTTAAAAGAATTTGAAATGGATTACAAATAAGAGGAAACTGAAAGAAATTTGGGATGTTTTGGAGGTAGGGGAGGCAGAAGGATAAAAGCCAGAGTCAGTTTAAATCGCCTTTGCCAAATGCCTTTGCATATTGCTTTAAACTTTCTTGGTTTCTGGTGCATACAGTTGCAGGGAAGGCGGTGTTGGTAGCTCTGAGTTTTCCAGTGATACTGGAGTTCTTGCCGGTTCTTCTGCCACGCCATTTTTGCTGCCTGTTGCAAAGACGGACTGATGAGACCCGTGACATGGATGGTGAGGAGGAACCTTCTCAAGACAACATGCTATCAAAATTGGATGAGATATTAAAGAATGAGCCATGGAAACTTGGATTCAGCAGGGTAGGTAATGTCAAGCAGGGTTAAAAATGGGGTGTTTGTTACATTTGAGCTTCATTAGAATACGGTGATTTTTTTTTACATACAGTTTATTAACTGGGCATTTGTAGGAGGCAAGCTTACTTCACTTGGAAGTGGATGATGTACTGGACTCAGTTTTAGCAAAGGTTTGGTTTTTTTTTCAGTTGGTCTACAATTAATTAATCTCAGAAGATTTAAAAAGTGGTTTTGTTACAACAGTTTCTTTAGTCTTTTCTAAAAGGAACAGAAAATTATTCATATGAGGTAACTGGGCCAAAAGTAAGAAAGCTAATTTAAAGCCCTCAATTGTCTTGTTCAGCTTTATGCTGGCAAATAAGATTTTCTGTGCTTGATACATAGGACAGTATCTGCTTTCATAGTAAGGTAGGTAAGTTACTCTCTGAAGAGGTCATCTGGGCTAGTGGTTCTCCTTTTTTACAGTGGGATTTGTGGTTGCTGCTTACCTCTCTGTTCTCCTTGATTACATGTGGCTGTGTAGCTTTGCTGCTGCACCTCACCTTAGTGCTTCTGTACCTCAGATGGGAGCTGTAGTTCACAAATGTGACTAGTTATTCCCTCTGCTTCATCCCACCAATGCTTTTAGTGACAGATGTTCTAACTTGTTTTTAAGACCTACAATTTCAGAGTTTCAGCAATCTAGCCAATATATTCCAGTGTTTCAAATCCTTTCCTTTGAAAAGCTTTTCCTGATGTCCAATTTGACTATTCCTTGATGTCATGTAAACTTCGTGCTGTCTTATGTTTTGTACCAAGGACCTGCATTCTCACTGCATTTTTTAATTGCTTGAATACTCTCTTTAGCTTTTCCCCTTAAGGCTCAGCAAGTCCAGTTAAATTTTCCTTCCTTCAGTTGTTGGCCTCTTTTGCCCATCTGTCTCTCCCTATTTTGTGGTAGTCTCTGCAAAGGTTGAATATTTCTTGAAGTAGCATGTTCAGAATTGGGTATTCTGGGTAGTGGCTTTCCTGTGCTCTGTTTCTACAGTTCTGCCTTTACTTGAAATTGTGCTAACCAGGCTTGTGCAAGTTCTCCCAATACCAAATTTCTGCTCCAGGTTTTTATTTTTAAAGTTTCTTTTTTATAAAGAAGGGCCACTGAGGGAAATTAGCATTCTATCTTACTTTTAAATATCTTGCTTTCATATAGCTTGGAAAGTATTTTAACTTAATACATTATGGAAAACATGTACATTGTTGTAGACTTCCACCCTCTGAATTGCATTTTGTATTTACTAAGAGGAATATTACTCAGCAAAAGGCTAGCATGTTCTGAAATAAATACATATAATTTGCTTTTATTCTTTTTGGGGGGAAGATTACCCATAGGGAATTGAACCTCTCTTACTGTGAGGCAACGTGGACTGCCTTCTGTCAGTGTGAGCATCTCCTCTGGAAGATTCCTAACTTGCAGAAGAATGCATTAATTTTGTATGATCAACTCAAGAGACAATGTAGAGAAATGGGACACACTTATGAAGATCAAGATGAATTAGCTCGTTTTGTATCTAAAGACATGTCCATTGAGCACGTTTGGCAATCTCTTGAATTTTTGAAAGATCAGAACATAGTGATTAGGGAGAAAAAACGAGTGTTTCTGCCTCATCTTTACAAATCTGAAAAAGACATTGCAAGGTATATAGGTGGTCTTCTATCAAACCACTCATGGAAACTGGATGCTGATGTGAGAAAGATACTTAATGTTTCTGAGACATCCGGAGAAACGGTAGACAACAAAATGAATGTTACCCAGGCTCATGAAATGGAACACGAGAATGAAAACAGTCTGGACAATCATAATGGTGAAAATCACTTTTCTGAAAAGGAAGTAGGGTCTACATCTGGTACCCGAAGCAAAGTTGAGGTAGACTCAGATCAGTTGATTGCTATGGAAAAGATTTGTTCTAATCCTGTCACAATCATAAGTGGTAAAGGAGGCTGTGGGAAGAGTACAGTAGTTAGCTGCCTTTTTCGACACTTAAAGCAGATGGAACAAGAAGTGGAAGCTGCTTCTAAAGACTTTGAAGAAGACCTGAATGCATCTGAAGAATGGAATACCTTTGATCATAATTGGGAGTCAGAGAATATGTACACAAAAAAGCATTTGAATGTATTATTTACTGCACCTACAGGGAGGGCAGCAAGCCTTTTAAGTGAAAAAACTAAGCTCCCTGCGTATACACTGCATCAGGTAAGGATTGTTTGTTTGGTTGGTTTTGTTGTGGTTTGTTTTTTTTAATTCTGAAAGACCTTTTGACACTGTCCACTCTTGTTTTGGAAAAAGAAGCTTGTTACTGAACTTCCCGTGTGAAATGTGTAGCTATTAATGATAATGGTTAGGTATAGCTTTTCAGCATTTGACAGCGTTATATTTTGGGGAATCATAAATCAGGTATTTAAATCATAGAATCATAGAATGATTTGTTTTGGAAGGGATCTTAAAGATCATCTAGTTCCAACCCTCCTGCTCAGGGCCCCATCCAGCCTGGCCATGAACACTTCCAGGGATAAGGCATCCACAACTTCCCTGAGCAACCTGTTCCAGTGTCTCACCACCCTTGCACTAAAGAATTTCCTTCTAATGCCTAATCTAAATCTAACCTCTTCCAGTTTAAGTAAATTATTTGCTGTAACTTTTCCCTTCTTACGCACATCTCAAATTTGTGCCTTTCCAGGGCATCTGATCTTTTTAGCTTCTCACATTGTTGTTTTTTTTGTTGTTTTTTTTAAGACAGAAATCCTTTCTAGATGGCAGAGCTGTTTTCTAGTGTCCTGTTGTCTAGTGGTCCTACTTATACCTTCACATACATGAAGAGATCAGTAGCCTGGGGTTGAAGAATGAGATAAATTTAATTCACACAGTGTTTCCTTAGTTACTGTCAAATATTGTACAATTTTTTAAAGAAAAAAAGTAGAAAGCCAGCTCTTTGCTATTGAAAGGTCAAGTCTCTGTTGCCCTGGGCAGTGGAAGGTGCCAAGAAGACATTGGAGGTTAGGGTCCTAGGTTTTGGGTTTTTTTCCTGCAGAAAACAAATGATGTTTTTATGTGTTTTTATGTAAGTAAGTACATGTTGATAATCTCAGCTAGAAGTTTATTCATCAAGGAGAAAAATAAGACTGAATGGTTGAGTCTTTGGAGTCTTCACAGATTTATGTTCAGAATTTCAGATAACAGCTCTAAATACATTATTAGAAGATAACAATACTCTGGCTGCCTTTATAAGGTGTTTTTTTATGGTTGATCAGTGTCAGAGTTTGATTTCTTTCAATTTGTTTCTAGATCATCTATAGTTTTAAAAGGTGGATGCGGCATGAAGACATACAACCATGGAAGTTTTGTACTGTGACAATTTTGGTTGTGGATGAGGGAAGCTTGGTGTCTGTACATGTTCTTAGTTTAGTTTTAAAACTCTTGTGTGAATATGCCCAGCTTGCCAAACTTATTATTCTAGGTAAGTGACACAGCAAATTTAGCATTACACAGTATTTAATAATACACAATCTACAGTGCAAGTACCAGAACTGCCACTGGTTTCACTGAGTTTCTTAACAATTCTTGACTGTTGTACTGTCCTGGACTTGGAGATTTCTGCTTATTCATAAGGTCAGATGAGCTAGGCAGTTTTCAATCTCTGCTACCAGTATGAAAGGATCTCCCTCCTCTGTTTAGCAGTGTTTTGTCTAATTCTGAAAGTATTAATGACTCCCATGTGGTAGCTTATTGCATTTTACAACTGCAAAACTTTTCTGATTTTTAAATTTTAATTTCTGATTTTTAAATTTAAAAAAGCTAGTTAGTGCATTAAGCACTTGCTAGAAGGGAGGATTCATGTAATTTTTAATGCTAGAATCATCTTGTTTTAATTCAGAAAGGAAAACAAAGAATTGGAAAATCAAAATCTATTTCAGAGGTTTACTTTTTGGCAGGCCATTGATGGCACTTGTTTTCAAATTTGTAACTTCAGCAATATGCTTGTGTAAGATGTGATCACTGTCAGTGTTCATCAGGCAGCGTGATCTGCACCTGCTAGTAGAGCATTACTGAGTGAGGAATATGAGAAATGGAAACAACACTACAGTCTGATTCCCCAGAGTTTCTTAGATTCTTGAAAGTTTTATTTCACATAAATGATATTGAGAAAACATGTTACTATGTGGAGGGTTGCGTATTTACTAATTCCAGTGTTGTTGTTTTTTCAAGACAGTTTTTAACAGATGATCTGTTACTGCTTCTCAAATACTAATTTGCATTTTGTTTAGGTGATACTAGGCAGCTGCCAAGCATAGACCCAGGAAACATGTTTGCTGATATCTTTGAGGAACTAAAATCAAAAGGCTTTTCTGTGGAACTGCGAACTAATCACAGAGCTGAGTCACAACTAATTATAGATAATGCAACAAGGTAGGATTTTCTTATGGATGCAGGAAACATGTTCGTAGTAGGCGTGGTCCTTGCAAAATAGTAGTGCATCCAGTTTTGATTCTGTAGTACTGCTTCTGTTACAGTTTCTTATACAAAATCAGTAAGACTTGTTTTAAAAAAAAACAACCCCCTCAAAAAACAGTGACAAAAGCTCCAGATTTTCCCAAGAGTGTATGTGTGTTGGACAAAAAAAAAAAAAAGTGTGCGCTGGAATAGTCTTGAATTCCATGGGACGTATTTCATTATGAAATACTCTGTTGTCTTCAAATGAGTTGTACATGCACAAATAACTTTGTCTTCTGAAGTATCTCACAATTGCTTCTCTAAAAAAGATGTTTTAAATACATTGCTGGTAAGTGTGGCACAGCTAAAACAGGCTGAATTGCATTGAGAGTTTAGATGTCAAGGGCCATTAAATCATAGTTTATCTTTTGATGTATTAATACCTAGAAACCTCTAAGTGTTTCCAGCATTTGCATTACTTTTGGTCTGGAAATAATCCTGTTCACTGTCAGTGCATTATTTCTTTTTTAAACCTCAGACAACAAAATCTTAAGTCTGAATGCCCAAGACCTTTTCATGTTGATTGGAATTTGAGAGTATTCTGAACATTTGCAAGATGTCCACAATTAGTAAATCTTTTACAACACTCTCCCCATTTTATTCCATAACACTTCTGTGTTATTTCAGTTTGCTCCCATGAGAACTGCATAGGTAATACTAAGTATCTTCTGCAGTGCTGAAGGTTTTAGAGAATAAATTACCCAGTTTTTAAATGTGAAATTAAGTTATGCTCAGAAGGAAGAGTTTTTGGTGTATGTAGTGTAAATGACCAAGAATTTATAAATGGCAGACTCCAGGCTGATGCAGATGATGATACAATGGAATTCTTTAACTGGAATAATATTTCTTCTCTGTTTTCTCGCCATTGCTGTGGTCAAGAATCTCTCACCGGAGGTTTCCTGAATTTGATGAGGTGCTGGAAGTTTCTGATTGGAATGAGGAAATGACAATGCCAAGCCCGGAGAAGAAATTTATTCTTATTGCTTTGCCTGCTGGTGCGGGTTGCGAGAGTATGTATGTACCATCTTGCCATCTTGACTTTCCCTTTGGTAAAGCATAGACTATCTAGCTGAAACTAACACTTTGGGAAGATTGTAGTTTGGTTTTGTTTATGGTATAAATTTAAATGCTAGGATCATAGTTTACCTTTTGCCTTCTGTAGCTGCACATGGCAAGACCCAGTAAGTGCAAAAAGACACTCTGTAGAGCTCCAGCACACCAGTTATGTTTTGAAATGGGAGTGATAAAGCTTCCACCAGTGTCATCAAATGTGATTGTCTTTTTATGTTGTAGCTGGAGCTGCCAAAACAACATATTTAACTTTTCAGAGGTGAATCATTTGAGTAAACAACAGCTGTAACAGAATGGCATGTTGGACAGGAATGTGCACCCAATTCTAGAATCAAGTTAGGAAAGTGGAAACAGAAGGGACCCCACTGTTTAAAAATATTTTGGAGTCCGGGCTAGGGCCATTTTTTACCTTTATTCAATGGATAAGTGGACTGAGTGACTTCTACTTTATATGTATCAAGAAGCTTCAAGGAGGATGTAGAAAAAAATAGTGCTAATATTATCACCTTAGCTTCCTGTAGTAACTTATTTAGCAAGTAAAATACTAAAAACAGATTTATTCTGTGAAATCTAAATGTATAGGTCTGTGACCTAACAGTGCTTTATCTTTACTTCTTTAATGTGCTGTATCAGAACCTTATATTGCATGGAATACACAGCAGGTAGCTGTTTAACACAGGGAAATAAGAATTTCTATCCTTCCATATCACTCCTGTCTCTCAGATTGTAATAGTGAGATAACTGCATGATACTTTTAGGGGGGAGTATATATATGGATGTTTTGTGGTGTATTTTTTTTTTTAGGTAGGAATGTGTTTTTGTGATGTGTTTTTTCTGTTGTCATTTTAAACAAGTTGAAATGTCATTGAAGCAAGAAATAAACAAAGGAATTTTCATATTGATTTATGTTTTTCTTTCTTAAATTAATTGTTCTGCATGTTTTTGCACCTTACCTTTTATGTCTTAAAACAGATCTGCAGACTGCCATAAAGACTTTACTTGAAAAAGGACCAGGATTGCAGGATGCCAAACAGTCACAGTTCATTGCTTTCAGAAGGTAATGGGAATGCAGGCAGATAGTGAAAAAGTCTTTGCCACAATCTAAAAATAGCTGGAAGTGTTGAGTTGAAGAGACCAGTGGCAATATCATAAAATTACTAGAGAGAACAACAGGCAAGATGTCTTGTCATGTTACCTACTGGTTGCCCCCAGTCTCTCCATGGAGAGTTGCTTCATTTTTCTATAAGCTGGATGTTATTTTGCAACATATTTTCTGTCTTTGTGTTCATGTTCATCTGTACTGTGTATGGTAAAGAAGCAAAGAATGGACCTAAGTGGTCAGTTTTTAGTAGGTTCCATACTCTAGTGTCTGCTAACAGCACAGTGTTCTTCAGAAAAAAAATGTGAGGGCTTGACTGCAGGAGGAACCCACACAATGCAAAGAAATCTCCATGTTCAAATGTATCCCATTGTGGCAGATGGCAGAATTTCAGGGTGCATGATGGAATATATAAACATATGCTTCTGTCACAGGTGGACACTGACCAAGTGACAGAAGATACATCTATTTTGATCACATGACAAGAGTCAGACTTAATCATATAAACTGATGGTTACTAGTGCTCCTGCTGGACAGTGGTGTATGCTGACTGGCTATTGATATTTGGAAGCACAATACTTGTCATGTAAGAAGGGGTGGGGTGTAGGGCTCTAACATACTTTTAAGATTGGAAAGGTTGGTAATCAGTGATAGTGGGAACCAATACAGGATCATGAACAGTATGGGTGGCCTCACAGAAACGCTGACGGGATTAGTGTAATGTCCACTAGTCCATAAACTTACACTTCTGCACAAAAGGCTACTTGATAAGCAACTCTCCCACTTTGATTTCTGAAGAACCTTTTTGCAGCAATTGAATAAACACCCACTCTTTACAGGTTACTAACGTGCAAATAAGAGATGTATGTATTTTGGCTAGTTCAGTTGTTTGTTGTGAGTACTCAGTAGCTCTGAAATAAATTTTCTTTCTCCAGCCTGCATTCAGGTACAATACTGTTCTTAATGTAAGATTCTTCTAGAATGCATTTATAGCTACTTAATCTGCATTTGAAAGTTAAAATTTCAGGTCTTTAAAAACAAATAAATCTTCTGATTATTTTTAATACATCCACAGACAGAAAGTAATGTATCCAGGCTTTAATTTTTCTTCAGTTTTCTTCTTTATCTTAGAAACAAATCTAGCTAACCTAGGTGTGCATTGCAAACATCTTTGCCTCACTTTCAATGGTATTTAGAGAAAACTGTTCCTTTACTGCTCTGTCTTCTAAACTTAGAATGGGTGATTCCTTTAAATTGTTGAAGGAAGGTCATCATTGCTAAAATGGGCTTTGTCCATTATTTATAAATTAATGCCTTTGTGACATTGCATATAATTATATCTTTTGTACATAACTGTTTTGTTCATGTTCTTGTTTTGTATGTTTTAGGCAAGACTGTGATATAATAAATGAACTTTGTTGCCGACACTATTCAAACCATCCAACCAGGTAAGCTGGTGTTGTGCAGTTTTTCCTTTGAACAATCTCACTTTGTTTTTGGAAGTGTTTGTCAGGTCAACAACCTAAAACAAGATTGTAAAACATTTAATGTTTCACCTAGATCTGATTATTTATGTTAGAAAAAATGCATTTATTAATCTTTGGTGGGTTCTTTGCACTCAACCTGGAATGTGAACAGAGATAACATTAAATGTTTGGTTTTTGTTTAAGTTGTCATTATGTGAACTCCAAGATTTTGAGTTACTGTTGAATATTCAAAATTGATGTAAAAGCAACTTGAAAAAACCCACAAGGTTAATTATTTTTTACCACTGTATTTCTAAACAGACTCTGAAATGTTTTTGGAAGCAGCATTGTGGTACTACTGCATATTACTGTTTTTTACCAAAAGGTTTTACAAAAGTTCAAGAAACGCCTTTTAAATGTGAGTTGACTTAACTGTTTAGAACATTGTTAAGGTTTTTAATCTGGCCCAAGTATAGTGAGGGGAAAAAGGAAAAATACTGAGAGATTCTAAATACGTAGTTTGTAAATAGGTTTCTCCCTTTTTCTTTCTCTGACCTAGAAACCATAAAAACCGACTTTTATTCCAAATTGATGACAAGATTTCCTGCACGCGGAATACATATCTGAAGGATCTCTTGCCAGACTGTAGTTTCAGAGGGGCTCCTAAAGTACGTGAAGGTGGAGAAACTCCCCTCACTACACAGCCTGCTGAGGAGGACAAGCGGCTCTGCAATGGAGACATATTTTTCATTACAGACGTAAGTCTTTGTGTCAAAGCCCCAAGGGTTACCCATTCAGTATTTGTTGACTCTCCAGAGCAAAACAATTCACACTTTACAATTTTAGTCCATAACACAAACTAACTTAGTTCTTCTGCTAAAGTATAATGAGAAAAGCAAGAAAAGAGGCAAACTTGCAATAGCAAGTAAAAAATAAATAAATCTCTGGGCATTTCTGTAGTTTCAGTTGGTTTGCTTGTGTCCAGTGTAAATAAATTCTGTAAATACTCTACTGTGATTGTAACATACAATGTTTTGGGTATAGGTAGAAATGTAGCCTTAAGTAAAGAATAAAGCTAATGTTACATCTTCAGTTCTCCTTTAGCAGCAAACTAAGCTGACCAAAAAATACAGCAGCACAAAACTCTCTATTTTCTGTTGGATTCAGTGAGTTGAGCTGACTCAGGAAAGGACCCAGTGAAAGTACCAATATTTGTTAATGAGAAAGGGGGGATCATATGGGGTTGGTAGGAGAGAGTAGGCTCTTTCCTGTTCGTGGCAACAAATTGTTGAATGGCCTCATTGCTATTATTTCACTGTACCCTAGGATAATCCAAGTTTTATGGGGGCTAAAACTTAAAAAAGCTTTTTCTTACTAAACAGAAGGAGTTAGGGTAGGCCACATACAGGGAAACTATTTTCCTTGACAGTAGTCGGTGAAAGATGATAATCTTTTGGGTTTTAAGTATCTTCTGAAGCTATTCCACTTGGTTGACTTTGTGGCTGTTGCAGTTTCAGGTAGGCAAGCACAGGGACAAAGGCAGATGTACAGACATTGATCAAACTGCTGAGACGAGCTCAGTGGTGAGTGTTCTTGTGCTGTTTCTTTAGGATGTAGAAGTTGATAAGCAGCGCTTACTGACCATCAGCAGCACGTACGGCTCCACCTACACTGTGATGTATAAGGCACTGAAGAAGCTATGTCATATAAAACATGCATGGGCCAGAACTATTCACACATTTCAGGTAAAAAAAAAAAAGTAGCTATGAGCTGATGAAACTTTCTCATGGCTTTACCTTGCTAATGCATTGTATGTTTACATGAAAGAGACAGACGCTCTCTTGAAATTAAAATTCCTTGACTGCAGGATAGAAAATATTTTTGAGCGTCCTCAGTTGTTTCCAGTTTCCTTGTTTTTATACGTTTGTTTGTTGTTTTGTGGTTGTGTTTTTTTTAACTACTTACTGGAGATTTTACTTTGCTAAGGCATTCTTAAACATGTTTCTTAAACATGTTTTATGATTCTATGTTTCAGGGGTCTGAGGAAAAAACTGTTGTCTACGTGGTTGGCAATCCTGGCCGTCAGCACTGGCAGCACGTGTACACCGCCGTGACGAGGGGACGCTGCCGTGTCTACGTTATAGCTGAAGAGCCGCACCTCAGGAGAGCAGTCACTAACAAGAACATGCCCAGAAAAACTCTCTTGCAGAGATTTTTGAGAGAGGCAATCACAGAAACAAGCAGCTCTCCCAAACAAACTTCCTTTCCCCTGACAAAGAGCTGGCAAAATCAAGAGCTTGAGAGTCCATCTGTTTCTGTATCTCAAGGTGCTCCTGGCCCATCTGAACCTCCAAGTGACTTGATCGAACAGAAAGGGTCACTGGTTCTCAGTAAGGAAGGGCAGATGGGCATTTTGCTGCAAAGTCCATGTAAAAGACAAAGTCTTGCAGAGGATTCAGCAGCAGCAGATTCCCCACTTGGGTCTTCCAGACTTAAGAATCTATCTTTGGGACAACCAACTCCTAGGAAGCTTTTCAAGAGCTAACAAACAAGTAGCTGCCCATGTTAGGAACTTTTCGTGGATCTGTTTTATTCAAGATTTTTGGAATGGGGCAGCTGGGTATGTGGATGATTTTCAAAGGCTCTCCTGTATTTGCATGTTCTACAAAGAACAGCTTGTTTTACAGTAAGCCTTTTCAGTGATTTGTTTTTCGTAGGAGAATCCTTTGTGTGTCAGTCATCAAAAGTCATAGAATTCTTTTCTTTTGGTGAAAAATTAACTTAAAGGTCTTACAGGATCCAGACATTTCCTTAAAAAAACCAAAACTGATGTGCCCAAACTTCAGTTTGCTCTAGAGTAAAAAAAAAAAAAAAAGTTTGCAAAGGAGACTTCACTTTTTTCTAATGTGACAGATTTATGGGCATGAAGCTTTAATGGATTATGGATTTTAATCTTGTTATAAATAGAGCAAGAAATTTGCTATCAGTGATACAGAAAATTTTTCCCGTTTTGGACTTGAAACAGATTTAGAACTTGCTGCTTTAGCTCATAGTTACATGCTGATAATGCTTTTGGTAAGAAAAGCAAAATTCCAAGTCAGAGTTCAAGTACCAGTCCACTTTCTGGCTTCTTTGTGTCCTGTGTGACTTGCTCGTTTATCATGTTTGAGGTTAATAAGCTGAATGTTTAATCAACATCAGATAAATTGTATTAAATTTTGGACAGATTGCTTAATTACTTTTAACATTTTATTTTTTTATGCATATGGCAGGAAAAAGTGTAACATAAATATGAACATGGTATTTTTGCTAAAACTGAGGGGAAAAAAAGTGGGAAAAATATAAAGCAGAAAAATGCTAACTCATCTTCAACGTCTTTAAATCACCGTTTATTTCAATTTATACAGTTTTTCCATACAAATATCTGCAACAGTTTGAATTTCAAAAAAACATAACATAGACGATAAATATCATGCTATTAAAGTATTAAATTTGTACAAAAATACTTTACAGTTTAATACTTATTTGTTACAAATAAAAATACATATTTAAGTGACTCATGAACCTTTTTTTTTTTTTTTTTAACATGATTCAGCATTGAATGTCCTGACCTTTTCTGGCAGTGCTGAAATAGAAACCAGAGATGCTTGTGTGTGCAGGGCAGGTGAGCTTGTTCATATATTGGAAACAGCAACAGGGATACAGTAAAACAGTTTAAATTGACCAGAAACAACTCTGTAAGGTGATTTGCTTAGATATGGAGACTCTACAAATGTACAAATCCAGTATCTTTATATTCACCAATAACAATAATTACCAAGAACAACTTGAGTACCGGAATAAACCAAAGCAGCTGCTGGTGAGCTTATAGAGCAACTGGCAGTATTTTATTGCTTGGGTGGAGAGGGGAGAGGAGAGAATTTGTGTGATGTGTTTGTAAAATATATTTACAGTTTTAAATTCTAAAAACATGTTGCAGGGGGTAATGTTTCTCATAAAGATGGCTGAAAATCAAGCATATTAAATGGCACTCTTGGCCCTTTGAGAAATTGACTTAAAAAGCTCACGTGTGACAGTACAAGTTTACAGGTTTATGTATGATTAAGGAGCTTTTGTATCAGTCATCCATTGACTTAGTTAAAAAAAAAATCATTCTTTTAAAAATCTTTCTAATCTGCCTGAACTCATTATACTTGTCAGTAATCCTCCTTCAGAGGTTTTATCTCACTAAAAAGGTCTCTGCTTAAAAATCGCCACAGGTTGCCAGACATACCATGAAACAGTTCATTGCATAGGGAATACCATAGGTTCTAACAGAACATACCAAAGAGCGGGGGGAGGAGTGATGTTGACACAAACAATGCAGCTTCCTACAAGCATTTTGTTAAAAAGATGGTAACGGTGCTGTGTCTGGAGAGCGCACCCTTCCGGCCAGCAGGGTGCAGGTCCCTTGACATGGCAGATCAAACCACTTCACAAGACACCTGCTGCAGCGTCCTGCTCTGCCCATCAAACGTTTTTTTTTAAAAAACACGTCACCTGGACACCACTGTTAGCAGCGGTTAACTCTGTGCTTTTCCCGCAAACAGCAGCTGCTGATGAAGGGAGAAGAACATTTAAATCATGTTTTAAACATCTCCCCAGCTTCTTATCTGCAGGGGGGAGGAAAGACCCTCACAATTTTTCATACTGTTGCTAATGATAGATAGTTTAGAATGGAATGACTTGTCTTAACGAAGAATTAAACTTTTCCAAAAGTAAGCATGAATTAATTTAAGCCTTGAGACAAGACAGGCTGACCCCCTGTGCTTTCTAGTGCTATATGGCATCTGAGCCTTGATCTTGGAGACCTCTTAAAGGGATTTAGCACCATAATTGTCTTCTGTTACTGAATGTCCCACTGAAGTGACTTTCTGCTATAACGTATTGTTAGGATCCCGTGTCTCTGTGTTCACACTGGCGTGTCCGCTCTGTTGAAGGAAGGTGTCGTGCTGATCACTCCACTCCCCACTCATGGAAGTCTGTTGCTCTGAGCTGCCTTTCTGAGATGCCAGTGGGTTTCTGCTGATCACCAGTTCCAGCTTATTGCCAGACTCTGCGATGAGGGGCACAACTAGGCAGCAGTCAAAGTCTCTGGTGCGAACATGGTTTACCTGAATGATTAAAAGATTGTTTTTCCTTACCATTTTAGGGAAAAGAAATGAGATCACAAGAGAAACAGATTTATCCTTGAGATTATACAACCTGATTTAAATATTCCAAGTGGAAATATTCCAGGTGGAGAGTCACCCGATACAAGACTGCTTAACCATGGTGTCTGGTCTGAAGACACTGATTAAGTCTTCTACTCATACTGAGCAGAACATAGCTGAAGTGGGTATATTTGCACTGGTGATAGCTGCTGGCTGCTGTCATCATGCCCACTCCATAAATGACATTTACTAGCACATAGTTTTTCTCTTTCATGGCGTTCATTAATTTAAATGCAATAAATCACATCTGAAATTCCAATTCTGTTCAGGTCTTCTCTAGCTTTAATTAATATGCTTAAATTTATATAGAGAGTCTTGCTGGCCTAGTTTTTTTCATCACAGTGCAGCTTAGCACTGTGCTAAGTGTGATGCTGAGTATTACATTATTCAGTCAACAATTTGGATTAAGCACAGAAACAACTCCCAAGTCTGTATCAAGAACAGCAAAAATTACAAATCTGTCTGGAAATACCTTGGGAAATTCCAGCTTTCCAGTGAGCCTTCTTATGTCTCCTTTGGCATTCTGAAATACCTAACATTCTAAAAGAATTTGTGTATATAAATCTGGTTTCACAGAAAAATCTAACGTTGGTGCCACTGCATAAAAGCCTAAGTCACCATAAACTGCTGCCTGTTCTTATTGAGGCCTTAAGCAATTCACATGGCTTGTGGCACAGAACAATTACGATATTTTTTCCTTCTTCCCTTCCCCCCCCCCCAAAAAAAAACCTTTCCCAGCAGAGGTACAAAGGAACAATACTGCTCATCATTTAAAATATAATAAGCAACATAGATAATAAGGCTGTTTCAAAGAAGCGATGAAAGGACTTTGTGCAGTCTTCTACAACCATGGCTGTGTAAGGAGTCCCAAACACCCTGCAGTGTGGTTACAGATCTTTTTACAACATCATCTGCATCTCATGTCCCTTCTCACTAAGCCTGCCTGGTGCCAGAACCATTACCTGTAAGAGTCTGTCGTATGGCTTCAAACCTCCCAGATCGCCAGGGCCAGCTGGTCGAATGTTTTTAACATACACGCCTTTTTCTAATAAACCATCTGAGACACTGAATCCAAAGTCTTCTCCATCAGAGTCCTTGTACAAAGTTACCTGTGGAAGTGATGTGACATGATGAGCAGGAATAAAAACCAACACCAGAACAAACCATTTGTCCACATAACTACAGGCATTAGGCAGGCCTTCCTAGGATGGTTTTGGTGTTTTGGTTGGTTTTTTTCCCCCACATTAGAGAGACCACTTACCTACTATTTGGTACTTACAGTATTAAGAGTTGTTCCCATTTTGACATTATATTAAGATGCTCAGAAGCCACCTTATTCTTCAGTAATAAACAGCCCTTTTCACTCCTGCTTGCCAGCTGGAAATTGGTGGTATTTAGCCCACTTTTTGTGGCATCATTTTTTTAAGACTTAGGTTTTTTGCTCTCTAGTTGCCAGGACCTGAGTACAAGATTAGGTTTAGTTTTGCTTCAGGCATGATGACCTGGCCTCAACCAAACAATTGGTGTCATGTCTTCCAAAATTTCCAGAGGACATAACCACCACTGGCACTGGCAGTGGTCCACCCTGTAAAGCCAAATCTCCAAAGTGCTCAGTATAAGAGTTACAATGCAATCTTTTAAGAAAGTACAAATAAGGCTCATTCTGAAGGAACTTGCAGGCAGTGTTCTTGCTATCTAAAAGATGGTCATTCAAAAGCAGGCAATAGAAGTTAATAAAAGTTAGGAAAAGGGGTTTGGGCTTTCAGGTGTTCAGAGAACAAGTCCTTGCAGGTAGTTTTGCGAATTCAGTTATTTCATAGAAAAAGACCGAGATACTTCTTTGTAGGAATGTGTAAGTTTTTATTTCTGTGAGGTTTTGTGTTTTTTTTTCTTGCTTCTCTCTCACATAAGGAGTGCAGATCTATGCAAGTAAATTGTGTCAGTGGTGTGACACCCATTTTGTATGTAGACGTGGATGGTGCATCGCTGGGCTGCTGTGAAAACGTATCAGTTTTGTGCCATGGTGAACACAAATACCCACACATGGTATTTGTCCCTTACTTTACACCAGTTCCTTCTCTTCCCTTGTTTTTCTCCCTCTGTACAGCAGAGCAAAGCAGAAAGCCACACCTGAAGGCTTTCTCCCTGCCCATGACTTTTTTTGATACAAGCTGTTCTGTTAAACTTCCCAGTGGATGCTGTGTTTATCTTTTTTCCCATCTTTCCCCAAAATAACTTTTTGCTGAACCTGTCATACTTCCTCCATCTCAGTGTGTATGTTAGGAGTCAGTGG